TAAAATAGTCAAAAAGCCAAAAAGCCAAAAAGCCAACCCACTTCCCAAACGGAGAGTTATGAATTATGTATGTACAGAATATGAATTGGTAAACCCTTAAAAAGAAGGAATGTGAGGGAAAGGAAGTGGAAAAAGTGTGAGAATTTGGAATCAGAAACAGTTATTATATACAAATTCTACTACATTTCATCAATTATAATGGTAGTGTGTATCACATGGATATATCTTATTTACATACAAAAAAAAAAAAAAATCATTTCTAATATATACACCCTTTCAAAGGATGCACCACATATCTATGATTATGTCATTTTTTTTATTTAAGATTATTTTTCTTTTTTAATTATTATATTGTTTTAGTTATAATTGATAAATTTTTGAACTATACCTCATATTATATTTGATTATAAATTCTTTAATTATACCTCAAGTTTGATTATAAATTGTAAGTTATATCATATTATGTTGGTTATGATAATTTTATTTATTTTTTAATTACGACTCAAAAAATATAAAGTTGTGTCATTTTCTTATTATAAAGTACATAAGATCCTAATTAAAAAATAAAAAATAAAAATATATATAATACATATTTTTTTAAAATGTGTACATAATATTTCCTTTTTTTCTTTTCGGAGACAAAAGGAAAGAGTCGTTAATTCATCACCAGTGAGCTTCAAAATGCTGGCCCCACTACAAGAAAATAGGATATATAACACGGAACTTTTTGTGACGGTGTAGGTGTCGTCGCAAAAAATGGTTTTTTTTGAGACGGCGTGTAACTGTCGTCGCCAAAAATGACTTTTTGCGACGGTAGTGACCCCGTCGCTAATAAATGTACAAGAAAAAATCAGGGGCATTTGTGACATCTGGTGTAGCGTCGCAAAAAAAATTTCTTGAGACGGCGAAAAATTACTGTCGCAACACAAAAAAAAAATTTGAGACGGGAAAAAGTTACTGTCGCAAATAATGGACATTTTGTGACGGTAAAAGTCCATCGCAAACTAAGTCTTGTTAAAACGACATCGTATTATTTGTTAATATTATCATTTGTGACGGTTTAAATATGCCGTCGCAAAAAGTGAATTTCCTCACCCGCTCATTTTATCTCATTCGCGGTGAAATTTTCCCCTAAATCCCTAAAATACTTTTCAAACCAAAATCTCCAAAATCCCTAAAACTTTTGAAACCAAAATCTCCAAAATCCCGACCTCTAGGTACCAGCATTCAGCATTGCTAGTGACGGTGAACGACGACGAGGGTGGATGAGGGTGAACGACGACGAGCAATGAGTGACGGCTAGCAGTGAGGGTGAACGACGACGAGGGTGACGAGGGTGGACGAGGGTGAACGACGACGAGCAATGAGTGACGGCTAGCATCGAGGGTGAACGACGGCCTTCACAAACGCTTCCACTCTCAACTCTCTCTTGTCTATAACCTCCGGAAGACTCAGGTCATTCCATAGGGGCGAATGGCTGCGAAATGAGCTTCCTAACTTCAACAAGAAGGTCTGTATATTCTCTATTACTATTTCATATTAATTAATATTTACAAAAATAACTACTCACATAGAAAGGGCCTCTCTCTCTCTCTCACACACACATACACACACTATTGATGATGACGGAGAATAAATCTAAGTACACTACAAAGTACCACTGCTCACGTGAAAGTACCACTTCATTTTTAATTTGGTGTTGAAGATTGTTAGAATATTTTGCTTAATGTTCTCTATTTTGTTTCCATTGATGGTATACTTTATTGAGGACTTCTCTAGTTGATCTATCATTTACTTCTCTCACTTTGAGTAGGTATGCAACAGCAAGTGCACACTCTGATGGTCTTCTTTTGCTCTGTGGAGGGAGGGATGCTAATAGTGTGGTAAGTTAATGTATTCTTTGCATGCTCGATGGATTCAAAGTATTGAGATATTATAAGCCATGTATAGCTTATTGTCATTCTGAAACGGTTTACTTTTTCCAGGGCATTGATGAACTTTTTGCCTTTATATGTTTTCTCCGCTTAAGTTGGTTGTTGGCTTTCTTTTTTACTTTGGGGAGCCGACAGTAGCACTCGTTGAAAGATCTGTATTCTCTTGTATTTTGGTTCCTTTCAAGGAGCAAGGCCTGGAGTGTTCAAAATTTTCATTTTAGTTTGTCTATGAGTGGTTAATTTGGCATTGTTCTGTGTCTACTTGATGGTGTCTCAGTTATTTGACTTTCAGGAGTTTTCATTTTGGGCCATGCGGCTATATATAAGAAAAAAAATTGGTACAGTTCTGGTTTAATATGCATGTCCTACTAATTGGGATGGATTGTCAAGTTGAATGCATGTGAGACAGTTTATCCTTGGGGTGGCTTTGGGAAGAGACTGTTGTCCAAGTTACTCCCACGTTCTACCATTTGTGAAACTTAACATTTTCTTCATGGTTAAGATTAGTTAAAATTTGGTTAATGTAGATATGAAAAATGTTATAGTTGATATTGAATTGAATGGGTCTAACACATTATTTCCATGTCGAGATCAGGTAAGATTTGGTTAAGGTTAACATGAAACAGTTGCTGAAATTGAATTGGAGTGTGTTTAGCCCATTAGACTCCATGCCACCAACAGATTGGGTGATGGTGTGTGAGACTTTTTAGCCAAGAGAGGGTTCCATATCTTGAGTGTGTAAGGTCATCACCCATCAGTCATCACTTCCTCTATAATAGTTAATTTTTTATGTTTTTTTTGTAATTAAAATATTAACACATAATTATATTATCATTAATTATTTTTATTTTTTGTTTTCAGATATTTTCCGAGTAGCAGTTTGCTTATTGTGGAATGCAAGCGTGTGAAGATTGCGATTAACTTTTGTTTTTGTTACCCACGGAAGAATCATGAGGGAAACTTTTGTTTTTTATTTACGTTATTTTGAATTGTAAACAACATTATATATTTAAACATTGTATATGTATTATGCAATATTATATAGTGTGATAATTTTGCTAATGTGTTGTAATGAATACAAGAATATTTTTATTATGGATGAATTGTTATATTTATAAAATGGAATTTTTTTATTATTATGTAATTATTGGTTTCTTTTTCAGTTATTTTTCATTTAATACAGGTAGTTTTCATATTTTTAATAATTTTATTGTAGTTTTTTTTTTTTTTTGAGACAGCACCACATTGCCGTCCCAAATGATATTGGCAGAGTTGAGACAAAAACCTTTTGCGATGGTATTCCTTACCGTCGCAAATAATCTTTTAGCGACGGCATGTCGTGCTGTCTCAAATATTTTTTAGCGACGGCAGCTATCCCGTCGCAATGAAAATACTTTCGCGACAGCATTGTTGCCGTCGCAAATAACACTTTTAGCGACGACAGCACAGTGCCGTCTCAAAAAATCTCAGATTTTTTCATATTAATGGCGACGGCAGAATTCCGTTGCAAAAAAGTAACTTTGCCGTCGCAAAAAAAAGGCGACCGCATTGTACCGTCGCTAAAACCTTTTAGCCATGCCCTTTATTGCGACCCCCCACTTGCCGTCACTAAAAGTCATCTACCGTTACAAAAAAACTTTTGAGACGGCATTTTGAGTATTTGCGACGGCATTTTACCGTCGTAAAAAATCAAATTTTTTGTAGTGCCCATAAATTTCCAGTGCTATTGGGCAGCATACATATAAAAAATTGCTTATAAAAATTGCATGCATATATAAATTGAATACACGCAACTTGCATACATATAAAAAATTGCTTATATGAAGAATATATTATTTTAGTAATTTTTAAAATTTTTGGTTAAAATAAAAGGTAAGAAAAAATTAGAGACGAATTATACTAACAGTCTTTATAGTTTAAGACTCGTGTCACTTTTGGTTCTTGATTTTTCAATTGTGACACATTTGACTCTGAATTTTGAATCGTGTTCCAAATATGAACAATTGAAAATACCATTGCTTAATCTCAAGGACAAAGTCATCAATTTAATAAAATATAAACTAATTTGACAAAAGTAAATGTCAAAAAAATTAATTTTCAATTTTAAATTTATTTTTTTTACTAAATTAAATTGTTCTATATTTTTATTTTTATTTTTGTTATTTAATTATGTGAATCCGTAGTCCTAAACCGATTCAATCCGTCTTTAAATAGATTGGTTTCACGATAGAAACAGATTAGATTAGTTCCAATTTTTCAAAAACTGTAGATAATAGATTGGCCCTGATTTTATCCCAATCCGGACTATACTCACCTCTAATATAAATTGACCCTAACACCCGGTATCAAGAAAAAAAACAAAAAAATCTAACTAAAATTAATCTTAGATCTTTTATTTTTGTTTTAAAGACATAACATAAAACACTAATTTTGATCTTTCGCTTTGAAAATCGGATTATCCCCGTCGCTAGTGTCTCCTACTCTCTACCAGTTGTGGGAATCAAATTTTGCTCACCGTAAGTACTAATACTTGGATTTTATTTATTTATTTATTTTCTTTGGATTGTCTATTGGACCTCATGATCTATAATTCCAAATTAATGCTCTTTTTTTGTTATTTATCTTTACACTAATTTATTGCTTATGATCTCTGGGAAAAGATATGGCAATGGGTTTTTTTTTTTTTTTTTAAGAGAACACAGGATGAGATATGGGTAATTCATTCATTTTTATCACAAACTTAACCATGGGAACCTTTTTTTTTTTTAGTAAGGCTACATGTATCAATTAGTGTACCAACTAGTATACCAACATATGTTATGACATTATTACTGGCCTCACCCATTATACAAATTACAAATACTCAAAACCTCTAAAATTATGTCACATTATAAGTTAATACACTAATTGATATACTAATTATTGCATATAAAATTATTCTTTTTTTTCTTCCTTCAAGATTACAAGTACAAAAAAAAAAAAAGAAAAAGAAAAAAAAAAAAGAAAACAGATGTTTCCCAGTCAAATTGCATGGAGAGAGAGCATTTCACTTAAAAATATGAAGAAAAAAAAAAAAAACTGAAAGATAATTCGTTTGAACAACAGGAAAAGAATTTCGTATTCACAAAACGGGAAAAGATACATTTTGCTACTGCATCACATTCCAGTTGTTCTCTCTCTCTTTCTTCATAAGAAATTTAAATTTCAAGAATTACTACTCTATTTTTCGTGATATGTACAACAATGAATGGATTAATAGGTCAAGAAAATAATGGAATTGGGCTATCGGTAAGCTGATCTGAAAAAAAAAAAGAGGCTAAAATGGGCTGACACTATTTGCTAACTTCAACATAAACTCGGGTACAAGTCGTTTTCTTGGAGGTGCGACTGCGTCGTTGGCGAGGGCCTCTGAATCTCCAGCATGAATACGAGCGACTATATCTTCAAACATTTGATCTTTTCCTCCTCTCATTGGATCCTAAATGACATACATTCCAAACAATACAGGGAAAAAAAAATGATAAAGCATTTTCCCAGGTAAACAGAAGTCACAGAGAAAAAAGCGTATGCGAATTATTTCAAGATAGCAAGTACAATGTAAAAAGAATATGAATAAATAAATAAGCAAGTGTTGAAACATGCAATTGATTACCTGCACGAAAATATCTGTGTGAGTCCGTCCATCATACAAAATTGATTCAGCTTTCCCACCAAGTCTTTGAAGTGTGCCTGCGAAATTCTTGCTGCACACAGAAAAATTTATGAAGTTATTTGACAACTGCCTCTTAAAATGAAGCTACAAGTTCACAACAATCCCTGCAATCCAACATGCTGCTAGTTGTTTGGTAAAACTTGAGAAGAAAAATTAACAAAAGATAGTGAATCAACTTCCCTTTTACCAGAATCATAGTAAAATGTCACACAAATCAACATTTGCTGATACATGAGCTAATTATAATTTAGATCAACTGATCTCCATAATATGATCTAATTCTAAGATTTTTGAAGTATAAAAATTTCATATGATGTAAAATTGTGTGAAATTTAAAATCACTAGTTAACAACAGGCAATTAAATATTAGGTTGAGCAACCAAAATAAAAATAATAATTGCGTGATTCAAGTACAAAATGTTAAGGATGTTTAGACAGATGAGTAGAAAACAATAAGATGATACCAAAATCGTATTGATATGCAGTTTCAAATTCAACAATCTTATACATGATATGTTCCCTTTCTAAGTGTAAAACTAAGCAAGCATTATCCATTCATTCTCATGTTATTTTTTCATTAGTACCCAAAACATCATAGAGTTCGAGCTTTCAAACTTCTGTTGAGCCTTTATACAGAGTCAAGGGATTCAATTTTATTTAGGGAAAACTTATATTTGATTTCTCATTATGCCAAAACTGATAGCTTCTGTGATAAAATCATTTCCAAAACACAATTCACCCCCCCCTCCAAAAAAAATATATATATATATATATAGACAGAGAAATTTGGGATGGGATGCAGACCTGGCATCTGATGGAATGGAATAATCTCCAGTGCCATGAAAAAGGACAACAGGAGGTAGGAGAGAGACTGCATTTTTAATGTTGGGGTCCTGTACCATTACTTCAGGAGAAAATCGTCGAATAGATTGTTCCCCCTCCATTATGCTGTTCAGGTAATAGAAATCATGAGGTCACATGAGATGTCAGGCACAATGTAAGTTATTTATTAAAATAGTTTGTCTACCGCAAACTCTTCAGAAATGAAGAAGATGTGTACCTCAAAAAGATTGAACGGTACAGACCTCGACTGTGGAAGTGATCTACTAAGTTAAACAGATTGTACCTGTTGACATTTGTCAATAAGTATATTTGTTAAAAAAAATTCTAAGACTTCTTTTGTACAAATCACACACACACACGGAAAAATATATATATATACACGTAGATATATCTTCTAACTTGAACAATCTCACCATGTTAATTTCTACCCCAAAAGCAAAGGGAAAAGGTTCTACTCTAATTTCTTAGAATTAGACATAAACTTACCCTCCAGATAAACCAAAATAAGCCTTTAACTGGGACACACTCCAGGAAGTACTCTCTACATCACCAGCCTCTTTAATTGCCTGCTCCAAGAGAGAACAAGCAGCAATATGGGCACCAGCTGACTGTCCCATTAAATAAATCCTACGGAAACCATAATAATAATAAAAAATTAAAAATATGGCGTGCTTAGCAAAAATGAATTCTCAATATGATTTCATTGGGGCATTAAAACAAGATGACGAAGAAGTTTATGAAGTTACTACCTGTTGGGATCACCTCCATATTCAGCAATATGATTGCACACAAATGAGATACCTTCAGAAGAGTCCTTTATCATATCACTCATAGTCCCCTGAGGGAAATTTCTGCCAGAAGAGTGTTACAAGTAATTAAGTTTTATGTACTTATGCATGTGTAAAATGCTCATTTACAGGAATACCACGTAACTAGAGAAGCAATGCTGAATGAAAACATGCATAGGGATGACATCCATGAAATCATTATGAAATGGGTAAATCAACAACAGAAATATACCCATGAAATTTATTTGGACTATGAAGATTTATTTAATTCACATCTAGGACAGAAAACAATAGAACAACAAGCTGGTTATTTAGCAGTGCAAACTATTAACTGTGACGAAATGTGATTACGGTAGAAAATTATTGAAATCAGCTACAAGCGGCTTCTGATGAAAAGAAAAGAAAAGAAAGGAAAAAAAATTACGTCGTTTTAACTTGTGTTACACAGTTTTTGGAGGGCAGAGATGTCCTGAGCCCATCATTATGTAACGAAAGGGTGATGAAGTTCACGTATTGTTAACTTAGTGTGTTTCACATGTTGAAGATGTACTAATCCCACTATTTGCAATTGCCATTAAATACAAATGTCAATATGTCACTTTGGAATCTTAAGAATCCATTACTCTAAATAAATGTTGTATCAATAAATTGAAAAGAAAAGAAAATAATGCTATAAGACACGAATAGACTTATTTGAAATTCCATGTATATTCAAATGAAGTTCAATTCTAAGGAAACATCCACATATCCCGGTAATCATTAAAAAAAATGTGGGCTTCCCTTTGCAATATTAGCAGTGCTTTGAACACAAAAACTTCTTTGATGGGTACATACAGTACAAGGTCATATCATAAAAGAATCCTAATGTGCCCATCAGAGAGCTTCATCCAAATGGAGAATTGAAAATGATAGTATGTATTATGAACGCAATAATTTATGCTTGAAGTAAAATCATATCACCTGTAATCTATGCAGGCCACTATAATGTCTCTTTCTGATAACTGTTTCCCAAAAAGACAACCCCATGCTTTATAACTGCATCAGCAAAAGGCTTCAGAACTTGTTGATAACAAATAAGCATGCATACAAGAGGCATTGACTTAATTCAAAAACTCTCCAACCAGCTGGTAAACCTATCTTTCTTTCTTTCCATTAACTCTCAACTCAACTCAATCCATATGTTTATTTTATGTAAAATCTCTTCATGGAAAAGCTTCAAAATTTTACTTTGATTCCAGTCTGCTTGCTGACTTGCTATTATGAATGTTGTTTTGTCATGCTCCATATGCATGAGATACATTTTCATATTTCATTACAAATAAACAACCTTCAAAATTACGTGTAATCTAAAATGGGGGCATTAACAGTGGAGGATTCATCCGAGTTGGTAAGTGGATATGCTCCTCATATGGGGTTCAAATCTCCTCGAATTAAAGGTTCATTTTGAATTTGGTCTTTTTAACAGCCAATTCATGCATCCAAACACATTGCAATCGCTTACCCAATTATCCAGGCTCCACCTGTTACAAATGCAACAACTGGCTTCGGGCCATCAGTATTTTTAGGTAAATACAGATCCAGCCTGCACAATTACATTTTGATTAGTGATTCATCCCATGAGATTCATGAGAGAATGTGCACAAACTGATTCCAATGTTGCATCCAGAAGCACAAGAAATAAATCAAGTAACAAAGCATTTACCTATTTCTTGGTTGATCACCATAAACTATACCTCTACGGACTTGCCTTGAGAAGAAATAGTAAAACGCAACTACACAAACAAGTGAACCTAGCTATCAATAAATCTGATAAACATGACCTTGAGCACATCTATAAATACAAACAATTCACAAAAGCCAAAACTAGTGGTAGAAGAATACAATATTAAGTTATAGGATGTTGAAGCACGGTAGAGTTTGTGTAACAGATCAGAAAACTTTGCAAACCTTGAATAAAACCAGGGAAAATTAGGAAAGCATAACAGCCAATGGCAAGTAATCTTGTGATGCATCTGTAGCCAACCCTGAATAAAAATAAATTATCAGACATCTAAACAAAAAAAGTTGATGATATACTGGAAACAAGTGATATTCCAATTCAAGAATATCATACTAACAATAATGTGAAACAAATCCCTGCAAGTTATTTTCCTTATTTTCTTTCTTGTTCTCCCGTCTTTTCTTTTCTTTTCTTTTCTTTTTTTTTTCCAAATTTATGTCTACATGTTAGAGCATTTTTAGTTACTCTACATTTTAAATGTCACATGTATTATAGCATTCTAATTCAAATATATATATATATAAATATAAATAAAATAGCAAAACTGTAATCAAAGAGGAGTGGAATCTTCTTAATGCAGCATTGCACATACGTCAATGTTCTTCTCACATCTATTATTCCTCTTTGAAAGGCTTTAAGTCATGGATTTTCACTCTTCACATGTCCTATTTGTTACATAATCTCTTGGTCAAATCACTATTATCTATATGTTACTTTTAAGCAGTGGTTGGATCATGGATTTTGGAAGGAATTTGAGAAGGGAAAGAAAAAGTAAAGAGGAAAGTGAATGAAGTTTTTTCTGTTCTTTTTCACTATTCCCTTCTCTTTTCCTTTCTCTTCACAAATCGTTCCTCAAATCCATAATCCAAACACTGCCCTAGTTTCTCCAAATGCACACGTGATATAAAGTGATTTGTGTTGCAAGTGTTGGGCTATCCACAAATGTGACAAAAGTGGAAACTCCCAAGGTTCACAGATGTAGATATAACTACTTTGTATCTTTCGTTGTCCCTCATTTGTATCCCCTAACTTAACAAAATCACTCCAAAAATCCTAGAACTACTTAGAATAGCATGCATGGATTCTCAAGCAACTATCATAGTGTCAACTTCTTGAATTTATTTTTCCTCTAGCTTCACCAACTTGAAACAAGCATAATATACTAAAAAAAATCATCCAAATATGTTCAATTGTCATTTAAAAACCATGACATGACAGATTGTGACTAGAAATTCATTTTCCCCTCCTATTATAGTTATGCCAATATTTGCACTGTAATTTATGTCTCTGGAAAATCAATACATCTGCCAACTACTTTATACCCCAACATATTTTAATAGTGATAATAACCCCAATGATAGTACACATTTAGGAATTGTAAGTCAATAATAGCATATTCTTGGCTTCTGGAAAATCAATATATTCTTGGCCTTTTGTGCTTACAAGTTACAAGATATTTGTTCCTACCACATTAATGATATGATGTCGAAATTTTTTCATATTGTACCCAATCCAATTTGAAACACCAATATAACACACAAAAATAAGTAAATAAATAAACTATGCCTTATACAACTGTGTGACAACATTGGGAAAATTACGGTGTGCCCATTGTCACTTTCCCCTCAATTAAAAATTCCTACATTTTACTTCTTAATCGCCTGATATATTATAATATCAACCTTCTATTAACATTTTGTTATGAAAATATGACGAAAAATTGGAATGTAAATTATAAATTCCAATTTTACGACCAAAATGTTCATGTAAGAATTGGTTTATATACATATATGTAAGAAATTATTTATGACCAACATGTAAAAACTTTTAGTTGAGCAGAGAAAACAACCACTGTTCACAATTGAGGGTGGTAAAGTGTAATTTGCACTTTTTCATTTCAATACCTTAATTAAAGGGGTTAAGTACACTGTACCCTTCAATTATCACTAATATCACCTTTACCCTCCTCAATTTTAAAACAGTACATTTAGGTCATGTTTGATTCACAATGCTAATAGTGAGGTATTAATAATCCTATCAAATTAATGTGGTATTAATTATCCCACCCCTACCCCATTACTAATAATCCTACAAATTTGTTGGATTAATTATCCATTGGATTAATAGTCCTAAACCAAAATGTCAAAACAAACATAGGATGATTGGGCCCACGGATTAATAATCCTAATCCCATGCTTTAATCCTTCCAATCAAACATGCCCTTAGAACCTTCACCTATCAAAAATTATTTTATTTTTCCCTCTGAAAGGTGGGTCTTTGTACAGTTTTTGATAATAGAGAGTCTAAATGTAAATTTTTAAATTAAAATAATATTTAATAATAATTGAAGAGGTAAACTGCAATAAACCCTTAATTAAACTATTAAGATATCAGAAAAAAAATAATATGGCATAAATAAATAGATAAAACCTAGAGCACATGTTTGATTAATAGGATTATAGGATATGATTGCGATTATTAGTCCATGGTCTCCCAATCTCAAATTCAATTGCAAATTTTATTCAGAAGATCTTTTTTTTTTTTTTTTTTAATCATACAAATATATTAACAGGATTACATATATGGCAGACGTTCAACCAGACAAAATTGACAAATTTTTAATATTGAGATGAGCTGGGATCATAATTTCAAATATGAAAAAAAAAAGAAAAGAAAAAAAAAAGAGACAAAATAAATTGTTATATCACTAATTCTATGCTAATTCATGGAATTATTAATATTTTCGCTATTAATTTTGTTAATCAAACAACGCAGAGAGAAATGAGAATACTTACCCGAGATATCGCAAGAGGTTGAAGCCAAGTCGAGTCATGAGATTGGTCTCCGACGCCGCATCCCCAATGCCCTCACCAAACGACTTGCCACCGCCGCCGGCAAGAGAAGACTCGCCGGCGGTCCGACGCCGTCGTTTCTGGAAGCATTTGGAACCACCAGTGGCAGTGCTTATATAGCTGGAAGCACTAGGAAAAATGGGTTTGACTTCAATTGCTCTCTCTCTCTCTCATCAAAAAATGCAGTCACAGATCCTTCCTCTGTCAAACCCATGTGGGACAATGGCAGTGGAGAAGGTGTTACTGAGATCAGCGGAGGAAGATGTGTCGGTTACTCGGCTTCTGATTTCTCCACAATTTGAGGAAGAGAAGTAACATCTTCTCCACTGCCATTGTCCCACATGGGTTTGACAGAGGAAGGATCTGTGACTGCATTTTTTTATGAGAGAGAGAGAGAGAGAGAATGAGGATGAGCAGAAATAGCAACAGCTAGCTGGGTCTGTTCTGTTAATAACTGTAATTTGTGGGGTAAATTACAAATATACCCTGAGATTTACTTAAAATACGAATTGTCCCTCATAGTTTGAAAAATTATAAATATTTTTCTGTCAAAATTTTTTATTTAACCGAATTAATTAAAAAAGTGAAATTTCTAACTAGTCACCTATATAATATTAAAATTATATGAATTATTAATTAAAAATTAAATTTAACATTATTAAAAATTGTTAATTAACTTGATGATTTATTAATAAAATGGCATATTTATTATGAAATCAAAAATATTAAGAGATAAAATGTAATTTCTAGAATTACATAGAATAATTTATAATTTAAATAAACTTTAAGGATATGTTTGTAATTTACTCTAATTTGTGAGCTTGGTTGGGTTAGTTGTGATAGATGACAAGGGGCAGAAATAGAGGAAGAGTGGAAAATTCAATTTTGAAATGTTTTTTTTTTTTTTTTTTTTTTTTAGTTGTGATAGATGACAAGGGGCAGAAATAGAGGAAGAGTGGAAAATTCAATTTTGAAATGTTTTTGGCTTCTTTTTTTTTTTTGGGTTACAGTGAAATATTTTTGAATGGGTTTAAATACATATACAGATAATGATTCTCTGTATTGGAACTCTTTGAAATTGTTTAATTCAATGGTCCATAAGTGTGTGTTTCTAACCTTATTTTATTTATTTTATTTCGGCTTGACCAGCGGACACGTGTTTTGTAACCATAAAAAATAGAGTAAACTGCAAGTTTGGATCGAGTGGCTTGAAAAAATGAGATTGGGTCACTTTCGAAGAAAAAGAAGAAATGATTTTTTAAATTTTTTATACATAGTAAATTGGAAGTGTGGATCGAGTGATTTCAAATTTTAGATTGGGTCGCTTTCGAAGAAAAAGAAGGAGAAATGAATTTTTTTTATAAATTTTTTTATATACCCGTTTGAATGAGTAAAGGCCATGAAAATGAAACAAATTATAATAGACAAAAACATATTTATATCATAATTTTTATTTTGAATCGCTTCAAAATAAAGAAATTTGAAGAGAAAATAGACTCAGCACTATTTTTCATCATACCAACATTGTCCTTTTAGATATAGAAAAAATAAAAATTGAATCTTATGAGATGTTATTTTGGTAATATAATGTGAAACAATTTATTTTCTTTTCTTTTATATAGTTTAATCATATAAGATAACAGATAAATCATTTTTTTTTTCCAAGTTTTCTCTTTTATTTATCCAAACCAAAAAAATTAAATTCACAATTTTTTTTTCTTCTCTATAGTAACTTACCTAATTTTTTTTTTCTCTCTCTTCTAATTTTTCAAACATAGATTACTGTAAGAAAAAATATAGTAAAAGTCTAGGTAATTGAAAAGTTCCCAAAAATTTAACATAAATTTTGATTCATAGTGTCCATTTAAACTTTATGTTGTAGAATGAAATCATGAGCCCCTCATTTATTTATTGTTATGTTTGTCCTTTTAATTATAAAATTTATACAAATATCCTATTTTTGAAAGGAGTGAAAATTATATAGTTTTATAAATAAGCTATTAATATGGAAGAGTTTATCGACAAAATGGATAAATTAATAATAAGTAATAGGTGTTTTTTTTTTTTTTTTGGCCAAACAGTAGGATATCAGTGTTTTAATAAGTTAGATTATAATAAAAAAATATATATCACAATCATTCTATCGACTCAAATACTAAATCTGACTTTTTCACCCTCTAAAAAATAACTACATAAATTATTAGACCAATTATCTTATCATTAACTAATAGTTAAAGGACGAGATTTTCATATAATTATCTTTATAAGATTTACAAATATAAAATTTGATAAGAGAATCAATCACAATCCTTTTAAATAAAATTTATTTTACATTTTTATAAATCTCATAATTATGTGTGAAGATTATATTTAATTTTGTTATTAATTTTCTCCATGTTAACCTTGCTTGAATTGCCTGGAGAGAGAAACAGTGGGACCGTTGACTGGTGGCAGGACAAGGGAAGGGATGTGTACAACCAGCCAGGTTGGTGCCACATGGTTTGTTATGATAAGCTTTACAACTTTCTTTGAGACGTTTGGATTTGTGCTTCTTTTTTCCCTTTTTTTTTAAGGTAAATTATAGCAAAAATTATAAATAAATACAATAATTTTAAAATAATTACATTATAGGTAAAAAAAAAATTATTTGCAAGTTTGACACACAAGAAAAACTTATACCAAAAACAGAAAATATTTGTACTATACACACAAAAGACTTAGAGGTTATTTGAGAAATACTAAAAATTAGTATACTTTTGGATTTTTTATAAAATATATATATATATATATATAATGTGGATTGAAATTAAAGTGATATAGTAGAGAGATGATATGATCAAAATAAAAAATGATATAATCCAAATAAGATAATTGTGATTCAAATAAGATGTGATATTTTAACAAATGCCAAACAATATCTTACACTACATGCAATGATATTATTTTCTCACAGTCCAGCTGAAATGCAATTTCTTCTAAATTATATTAATCTCTTTTGAAACTTAAAAAAATGCAACAAATTTTATAATTTTCGCATAATTATATTAACTTCGTTTTTAATATAGTTAAATAAATTAAAACTGATACAGATAGCATAAAAATATAAAGATAAACAAAATAAAATATAAATTTTAATATACAAATATGACAGTATTATTTTTTCCATTAATATGACTAATAAATTATTATTAAAAATCAAGATAGATGTCATATGAATTAAAACGTTAAAAAAATATAGTATATAATTATATTAAATTTATTAAATTTTTTTCCAAAGCATACCATCTATTCTTTCTTGTATACTTCACCCTTCGTATGATATCAATGCATGATATTGTCATTCGTTGACCCGTGGCAATTCAATCCGTAAATGTATCCACCTTAAAAGTACTTTTATTCAAACTTTTAAAAATTGATATGATAATTTTAAAATATATATATATATATAATATATCAAATTAAATATTTTATTAGTTTTTACTTTAATATGTTTTTAACTCTTTTATTTTATTTAGAGAAATTTAATTTATTAATTATAATGAATTTCTTTTTGAAATGGACTATTCAAATTATGAGAAGAAAACAAATTAGCATCTGCATCATTCGGCATCCAATTAAAAAAGCAATTTTTTTGAAACTTTTTTTTTGTCTGTAATGATTGTTTTTTTCAAATTTATGTTAAATCTTTTACTTTTTCGGTTCGTCTACTGTAAAAGAATTTAAAAATAAAATTCAAAAAACTTCTCTGAGGACCAGAAAACTAAAAAAAAAAAATGTCTATTGTTTTTTTTTTCCCAAACTTTTTTCATTTTTAATGGATTTTTTGTTATAATCTGTTTTAAGTGGAAATGTTGTTTATCATGTTCTTGCGAGACATGAGTATTTTAAGTGTTGAACTGTGGAACCTTCTTTTTGAAACAGATTGTATTTACCAAACTGTATGCCAATCTAGTTTCTGTGATATATATCTTATTTTGGAATTGAACCCTGTTTTCAAAACTGTATTTACTATCCATGTTGCTGCTCACTGAGCTATCAGCTGACTTAGTTGTTTACCAATTCCAGGTGTTAGGAGGACTTAGAGTGGACTCATGGCGTAGCGGGGACTCAATTGCATGGACCTCTAGGGCGTTTATTTAATTTGTTTTAGGTTGCTTTGTCAAGTTTGTGCATATTTATATTTATTCTTATCGAAGTTCATTTAGGATTATTTTTGATATGTGGGTTGTTTATATCCCATAAGTTTGGATGGTTTTTTATTACGGTTGATTTTGCCGTTTATAATTGTGACATGTCTGGATTGAGTTTTGGTTATTTATTATTGGACTATTGTTCAGTTGTTCAATGTGATTGGATTCGTGTTTAGGCTTACGTGTGCCTTGGGCTAAGTCCCTGTGGGCCACGGCCGGTCATGCCCGGATTTGGGGTGTGACATAAATTCTTCGCAACAATAAAAGCTTGATCAATGTACACCATTTATCAAACAACATTACACTGACATGAATGCTAGATGAAGACTGGAAACAAATTTTACACAAAAATCGTGAAAGAATTTCAGTGTAAAAACCACAATTGTTCACAACTCACATTATATTACAGATAACTGAACTCTATAAGCTAAGCAAGGGCAATGTTATACACCACAAACTGCTGGATCAAATCTCTCATTATTTTCTGAATTACCCCTGCAAAAAAATTTGGGATACACATTCAAAATAGGCATACACGAAAATTAATTGCTTCCACAGTGAAGGATTGTACGACACTCCCAAAAATACTGCCCATTTGATTTGTTTTCATCAATTCAGCCATGTTCGCAGGTTACAACATCAACAATGTGAAATTTTACACAATGTGCAGACTAATTTAGAAAGGGGAAAAAATGGAGAAAATACTTTATCACGATTCAGATATTTTGGAAACTCAACAATGCAGGCATAGAAACCCAACAATATGATTTATGACTGCTAATTCAAGAAAAACAAACAAACAAACAAGCTCATGGTATAAATCAAGAATCAAGTATTGGACAATTGTAGAAAGAATTGAGGTATCTAACCTTCTCTACACATACTTCCTTAAATTCAACAATACAAGTGTGTTGAATTAGCGAAATTAGAGCCATCTATGATTCAAAAAATTTTGATCAAATATTTTCAGATGTCAAAGAAATTAATCAACTGTTTTACATTCAAATGGAAAAATAATGTATATAACAGGACATAATTGGTTATGGATTTGACACCTATAAAAGTTCAAGGGTGACAAACCTTCCTGCATATACAAAAACCAAGACCATATAA